TAATAAACCCTTATTTCCTTGAGGGCTTGCTTTACCTTGAGGTTACTTTGAGATGATTTTGGGAGTTGGCATCCCCGAGGCCTGGTCCTCGACCAGGCCTCCTGGTTGCTGGACTGGTCTACCAGGCTGTTGGACGCGGCTGCTCGCATCCTGACGTATGAGTCACAGCCTGGATGATCAGGTATCCTCAGGTTTGGCAAGAGTTCTGTCACTCCCGAATGTTTAAATGGTGTGAAGTGAGTTCCAACTTTCAGGCGTTCTTTGCCAGCTCTCCAAAAAGGACATAACTCTAGTCAGGTCTAACAATGGTGCCCACTAGGCATGACAGGGCTGATCTCGCCGAAACCTTTAAAATACTGAGCAATTTAGAGGATGTTAATCCAGAGAATTTGTTCAAAAGGTCAGATTTAACCGAAACAAGGAGCAAGGGTTTTAAACTCTGCAAGCTACAATGCATGACTGAGAACAGATGACCCACAGGATTATAAACGCATAGAACAGGCTACCCGCCGAAGCCGTAAATGGCCAAACTGTTAAATGTTAAAATCCAACTGCAAAATATCATCAGGACAAATGTGGGGTGGGGTATTTGACAAGCCGGCGTCGCAACTAGTGTTGGTGGCCCTCGATATCCCAGCCTAATTCTGGTAATTACATATGTCACACTGTCTATAGTGGATGTTTTGTGCTGCCCGTATATATAGTTCTCGGTTTTAAACATACAACTCTGTTTATATACTCGTGCTTTCTGACGTTAGTGTATCATAATTTCCTGTAATATTTGCTTTTTACAAGAAGAGATTGGAATGCCTATATCTAACTCAATTTCAGGCTTATCATATGCAGTTTTACTAGCTTGTCTGTGTCAAAATGGCGTTGCTTAGAATGCAGTTGTATGTCATTGTATTTGTCCATCTCCAAATGTTAGTGAGTAATTTTTGAGTTAGATAAGCACAGTGGTAGTGAATACAGCCTAGGTCGGAGGGGAAGTTAAATGGCGGCCACTTATTTCACCCGTGTTCTCGCTACCTTCAATATTTCTACCAAATTGTTTACCTTTCAGTGTTTGCCCTTCATGTTGTCCTTACCTGACCTTCATTGTTTTAATGATCTGACCTTTCTTCTTTTTGTTTTCTCATTTCACCATTTACTCAGTTAATCTATACTGTTTGTTCATTCTTTGGATATTTCTCAATCATTTCTTAAAATGCTTTTGTCAATTTGTTCTGCTGATATGTTAAATAAAGGATGTTCTCTATGCACAAAAATTCATATATCAGACCTGCAGTTATTTTCATATTTGTTTTTGCCTACAGTGCTATAGTAGTGTACTGTAATATAATTGTACGTATGCACACAAAATCATCAACTACTGCCTATGATTAATCAATATTTACACTTATGACTAAAAATAATTATAGTACAGTTGTTGAATAATTTTTGTTCCAAATGAAATATAATTACTGTACTGTATTTATGTTTTAGGGACTATTTATGTCAAAACATTATGCACATTTATGTATTATCTTTGCATGTTTTTAATTATTTGTCAGATGAAACTTTGTATGAACCATATAACATATATTTTTAATGGTGCGAGGAGCATGTATCAAGAAACGTTTACAGTTTTAAAACGAATGAAAACTAGTGTATTGAGTTTCATTACCCATAATACTTACTTTAAACTGAAGCTCACTGTACATCATCATTTTAAAACATCACTTATTTTTAAACATTGTAAAACACTGTACATCATCATTTGGGCTTCATTTTAAAACTGGAAGGATAATTTGTTATATTTGTAATAGAAACAGATGACATGAGGTTAATCAAGAGAAATGTAGTACTGTAAATGAACAAATCAAATGTTTAGTAGTGTATTCAATTCTTGGAGAAGATTAGTATAGATATAACGATTACCTTAAGGTGGTCCTAAGGATCAACAATAGTTTATAAAGTGATCTTTAATAAAGTGATATTTATTGCTTATAAAGTCATTTAATATGTATTGACAATTCCTTTAAAATTATAACATTTATTAATATGCCATTTATAATTTTAATTATAAAAAAACGTGGCGAATTTAGTATGGTGTGCACTGTAGTTCCCCAGTAGGTAATTCAAGTTTAAGTATGTTTATTGAGAAAAGAAAGAAATACATCTCAAAGGGATAGAGAAGCTTAGGCTATTTCTACCCCCCTCTACTTCAAGTCCCTGAAGGGGCGCACAAATTCATTGAGTACAGATACACAAATCACAATAATATTTAACATTGCAGAATAATATAGTAAGTGTACAAAGTACACTTACTCAAAGTACAAGCCATCGCCCATTGTCAGAACAACTGGACTTCCAGCTGCACCCGTGGTGCGGTGTAGGGAACCATGCGGTGTAGGGAACCATCAGTGTATATGATTTGAGAGAGAGAATGCTCTGTGGACAGAGCATCAATATGGCTTAAGGCGTTAAGGTTTGCCTCAAGACGAAGCTTGGGCTGATCTCTAATTTGTTTCTTGGGTGGAAAGGGAGGGATTAAAACTGGAAAGGATGTAACCTCCCACGGTGCAGGAAAGTGCCGTTGTTGTTTCTCTTGGTACAAATCATGAACCCCATACATTCTGAGTTGAGTTCCAGTTTTTGTTATCCATTTGGAACAATGCTGATCTTCAATAAAGAAAATCTTGAGGGCTTCTTTGCAAGGATTAGGATGAGTTAGCCTAAGCATTTTTATACCAATTTGACACTTAATTTCAGTAACACGATCAACAACGCTCAGAATAATAAGTTCCTTTCTCATATTAAGTATCTTTGTGGTACGAGGGCACCCAAGGATTATCCTCAAGGATTCGTTCTGCAATTTTTCCAGCCCTCCAAGCTTTCTTTCAGGCATCAAAACAAGCATAGGTGCAGCATAATCCACTAAAGATCTAATGTATGCAAGGTACATCATTTTAACAATTCTGACATTGGCACCATAGCCTGAGTGATAACCTGCAACAGCCTTGAGAGCTCGGAGCCTCTCTTTAAACTGACGACAGAGTCTGAATACAACAGGAGCATACATTGGCACCTCAAGGCCAAGGTATTTGTATCTGTTTACATAGTCAAGCTGGGAGCCATCAGACAGTTGCATCTTGCGAACAGCTCCTCCCTGCCTGGGTGGGCGCCGATTGTGTATCTTTGTTTTTCTGCTGAGATAACTAAACCTAGGTCCTGACATGAGTCTAATACAGAGTTAAGAGTGTTGTGCGTGTTAGCATACCCAGTGGTGTGTATCATTATACCATCAGCATAGCTAATGATGTGGACGTTGGGTTTGCTTGGTATAGAGTTTAGCAGCGTGTTTATTAAGATATTAAATAAGGTAGGACTGAGGACACCACCCTGCGGGGTACCTAGTTCAAAGTCTCTTGTTACACTCCTATGCCCCTGGAAAAATACAGATGACTTTCTGTTGGATAAGTAACCCCTGATCCAACAAAGAAGCCGACCACCAATATTCATTCTTGCAAGCTCACTCAAGATAACATGTCTATTTGCAATATCAAAGGCAGACTTAAGATCTAGGAAGGTGTTATATGACTTTTCAGTGTGCAGGGTAAGAAAGGTGGTGATGCAATGATGCACACTCCTTCCATGCATGAAGCCATATATCTGGGGGGATAGCATGGTTCTTATTCTATGGAGGAGACGGTTTAGGACCATTCTCTCGAATGTTTTGCAAATGCAGCTAGTAAGGGAAATTGGGCGGAAAGCATTCTCTTGATTTGGCTTTGGAATTGGAATGATTATACTGTTGGTCCAAGAGTTAGGAAGCTCCCCAGTAACATAGCTCATATTATACAGCTCAAGCAGGGGATTACCTGGTACTAAAGGAAGTAGACGCAATATGTCATAAGTGATACCATCTTCACCGGGGGATGTGGCTTTGCCTTTGTTTAGGGCCGGGAGTAATTCAAACTCGGTAAATGGCACGTTGCATTCATCTTCCTTGTGGAGCATGAAGTCAACGAGCTTTTCTCGATCTCCGTAACCAGCATTTAATCTGAACTGTATGTCTGGGGGAAGATTATTGAAGCTAGAGGTGGTTGCCCAAGCATCGACTAACTCGTTTGCTGTGTGTAGAGGATGAGGGTGTGCTACTTGGCCGATCTTATCGCCTTTAAATCTTGTAATATCCTTCCATGCCTGGTTGAGGGGGGTGTGAGAGTTGAGACTGTTAACAAAAGTTTCCCAGTTATCTTGCCTGAGCTCTGTCATGCGCTCCCTCGCCTTGGTTAGGGCTTTCTGAAAGAGCTTGAGCATTGCTGGCGTACGTGTTTCCCTATATGGAAGCCCAACTCGTCTGGCAGTGCGTTTCAAAGTACGAAGTTTTGGGTCATTGTAATAGGCATAGCGTTTATACGGAGAGCGGCAAGTATTGTTGATAGCAATCTCCCATATTTTGAATAAAATAATTTGTCATATCTTTATTAGTATGTAGCCTTTTCCTTTGAAAGTGGAGTTGTTTTTTCCCCAGTGGTAATTCGACGTTCAAGGCAAAGTGGTCAGTAAGTAGTTCCCGAACGACCCGAGCCTCCCCCATAATAATTAGAGTCTTGTAAAGCTACTAGTACGCGTAGTGTTTGGGGCCGAAATTATTTATTAAAACACTAACTATTTATTTATTTATTATAAATATATTTAACTATTAAGTTATGTAGTAAAAATATTTAATCATTATAATATTACTTATATAATAATAATACGTAATCCAAAGTCATCATTTGTGAGTGTAAAGTCAAACATTGTTTCTCATACATTTGGTATATGTATATGTCTCATACATTGGGTATACATTTGGGTGTGTATAGTTCGTTTTCAATAAATAATTGTCATGAATTAGTAGAGTAGGCAATTAGGTGGAGCCGACCAATGAGAGTAGAGCTTGCGGGATTGTGACGTAAACTGAAAAATCGAAAGGTGATTGGCTGATGAGTCGACTTGGTGGTTGAGGCTCGACGGAACGTTATTTTGACCCCAGTATTGGCAAAGTAGTGGTGTACAAGTTAGTGTTAGGGCGTGTTGTTACTCTGAGCTGGTACCCCGTTACCCTTTGGGGTCGCTAGGGCTGACAGACCCCTAGCTTACACTCATTTTGTACACCCTCAAAACGCCAATACATAGGGTCAAAAATATATAATTTACAACTTGCGTATATACCCTCTTTGGGGAGTATATATATGTAGGGAGATATTTGAGTGCTGATCCCTAATTAGTATTAATATATAATTATAAATATGTATTTAATTGTATGTTTAATTTCAGTGGTATTGTTATTGAACGAGGGAATGGTCGGACGATGAGGCATCGCGTGACATGAGGGGACTGGTGAGTTAATAATGTGGAGGAGACTCCCCCCCATTGTGATGGGAGCAGTGGTGGACGGATGATTGAAGTCAGACAGCGGGGAGTAGAAGGTGGTGGCAGATGTCCCGGTTGAGGTAAATGTGGTAGTTGAATTAGCCGATCTGGAGGTATGGAGTTTAAGGCTAGTAGTTATTCAATACCTAGCTTAAGTTATAGGGCATGGTAATATTTTATTTAGCCTATCTTAAGTCAGAGTGAAGTGGTTAATAGTATTAGCTGCTCGGAGGGTGTCAAGGTAACAGCTACAAAACCCTTTGCCTATTGAGGTTTGATCAATGTCTGTATAAGTGTCATATGAAATGAGCAGGTACGTGAAAATATTTTAGTGAAGGTACAGGTTGTAATTAAAGGTATGGTATAGGGATAATTGATATTGGTAGCATGAGGTAACTGTTGCTTCGTTGCAGGTAATACCGGACCGATTGGACCCCTGGGCTGTCTGAACTTGAAGCGTCTGCATGTTCAAGTGTTCGTGAAGACTTATCAGTAAGTGTCTGAGTAGTGTTATAGACTGTTCGTGGGGATAGGTTGTGGCACGTTACTACAGTGTAAAGGTGAGTGTGTTTATAATTTTGTGTGGGTTGAATGTCACGTTGAGGCGGCGGAGAGTAGTTATAAGTTGAATGTGACAGGAAGGTAGTTTTGCAGTAATGAATGTTGACTTTATGAAAGATTAAAAAATCTATTGGAAATAACATCGTGAGTTTATGCTATTGTTTTGGGATATAATCATTGCCTAATGTTGTCAACGATGACGTTAAATTAGGTAACATGTAATTATTTAGTGTACCATGTTGCCTGGAGAATTTGGTGCAATTAAAGTAGGACGTAATGACAAAGTGTTGAACCGTGCCTTACATAGGTGTTAAAGCGAGTAGTTATTAACGTGGCCACTAAGGCAAGTGTACCGGGCCTAACGCAGTCGTGTATGTTGAAGCGGTATGCACTCGATGTGTTGGTAATTAATGTAGGTGATGAACATAAGGCGTGGTTGACGTAGATTTGCGGCATGCAATAGATAAGTGTTTTGTGGAGTAACGTGGTTGGACATTGGTGTGGTGAAATAAGTGGCAGTTTGAGCACTACTACATGGATATCGGGGCGCGTATAGGGAGTTTTAATTGAAAAGTATAGTTAACACTTTTACACGTATCAACTTAATCTGTGAATCTTCAATTTAATTTGAGAAATGCAGTTTGGCTGCAGGATGTTGCTTCCAGAAACGTTAAGAATATTGAATGAGGGCAGCATTAATTGGCCCTCTCCTCTTTCTCATGTACATTAATGACCTTCCAAATGCCTCCCAAGAGCTCCAACCAAATCTATTTGCTGACAACACAAGCTTCGTTTACTGCAGTCCTGACCCCCTTGCTCTAAATGGCACAGTAAATAGTCAAACATGGACTTTATTGGGTTATAGTATTGAAAATCATTTACGTTCTGTAATTACTCAGCTGCTATTAGGACAATATCCAAGTCTGGCCCCAGACATCAGTCGGTACCCCTACTGAAATGTCGGGTTTGTTCGTCATTGGGGAATGTAAGTATGTTTTTAACTTTAGGTTTAGTTTGAGGTATTGTTGCACGGGTGTTGGTTGTCGTGTGTATTAATAAGTATATTGGTGTTGAGTAGATTTTGTTAATGGAGAATTGTGTAGTAGGAACGTGTGTGTGTGTGTGTCCGTTGAACATTGGCGTTTAATGTGTGGTGATGTATTACTAGTGGTAGTTATTGAGGAGTTCATGTTGGGTAGCCAGGACTGTAAGATGAAATGACTGTGAGGGGATGGTAATTATGCGCGATGACTAAACCGCAAGAATAAAAAAATTGAGCACTGGAACTGTATGAACAGTATAAGAAAGGGTGATTAAATGTATCTATTTAGTTGAAAATATTTAGTTTTGGGGGGGTGGGTTTGTCATGGTTGCGCTTTGATGGTAATTTATAGAAAAGTATGACTCGTCCGAGCTGGAACATGTGTTGTTTTCCCTCATGAAGTGTTAAAAGTTGGTACAGAAGTTAAAATTAAATCGAAATTGTTAGAGGTTAAAATATGGAATTATAATATAGAAAATGGTTTGACAATGACGAAAATGTAATGAATTTAGATTGAGTGTTCATAGATGGTTGTAGGGCATAATAGGAAATGTTCGTTAGGATACGTTGATGGATATTATTACTATCAAGGAGGTGAGGGTTTGGAGATGTTTTGGCTTGCCGGAACAGAACGATGAAGTATGTATTTGTGGCGAAACTGGCAGTGGTGGAAAGGAGGATCAACGACACAGTGGAGAGTAATGGAATAGGGCGTGACGTTGAGGCGAGTATGTGAATTTAAAGACGTCTTGAAATTTCCCCCCCCCCCCTCAACCATTGTTAGGTAGTACATAACACTTAAATCAGCACGTGTTGTAAATATAAATCGTGATGTACGGATGTGGTGTAGTTAGATCATTATAGGTGATGAGACCGAGAATGACTAGACTGAAGTTATTATTTATATTAGGGTGGAAAATAAGTGAATGGTTTGTGTGTGTGTATATGTGAATGGTAGACGGTATTGTTGTAAACATGCATAGATGGTGAAATAGAGGTGAAGAGGCGCTGACACAGTTGGCTGACAAGAGATGGTTAGCTGGCAAGAGCCAGACATGGTGTCGGTTAGGTGGACATGGATGTGGGTTTCATAAGGATGTATGTCCCATTGCATAGTTTGCTTAAGGCGTTCCTCTGCATTATGGTATGTTCCCCCCCCCCCCCCCCTGTAGTTTATATAATTGTGCGTGTATTTGATAATGGTAAGGAATGTTTATAGGCTAATGTTCATAATGGTTATCATAATGGTGAATACAATGTCCATTCGTAGGCGAGAGGCTCGAGTACCTTAGACGTGGACAAGATGGTGTGTAGGTACTTGAGGGACAGAGACCTGGAAGTATTGAAGGAGGAAGTTGAAGTGTTCCATACAACGTAGGAAAGAATGTAATATGTTTTAAATGTTTATTGTAGTGGAGAGTCGTTGAGGATATAGTTTGATGGTTATTAGATATGCAGTTGGTTTAGTTATTAAAGTGCAGTATAAATAATAATGTAACCTTAAATGCATAAAATTTGATGGGGGGGGGGGGCTGGGGGTAAAGGCGTTGTTGTTTTTAAAGATTTAGCTACTGAGGACGAAGTATCCATGTAGGACGGGCTATGGTGAGCCCGTAAACTAAAGGGTCGTCGTTACTGTGCTCATAGAGGGCAGTAGATGTGGCCAAATTAGTGGACAATTTGGAAATTAAAAATGAATACATAGTTGTAGGGAATTATAAAGTAAATGTATGAATTATGGAGTGTATGGAAGAAGCTTGGTATAAAAATGTAATATGGGAAAAGTTAAGAACATAAGAACAAAGGTAACTGCAGAAGGCCTATTGGCCCATACGAGGCAGCTCCTATTCTATAACCACCCAATCCTACTCATATACTTGTCCAACCCACGCTTGAAACAATCGAGGGACCCCACCTCCACAATGTTACGCGGCAATTGGTTCCACAAATCAACAACCCTGTTACTGAACCAGTATTTACCCAAGTCTTTCCTAAATCTAAACTTATCCAATTTATATCCATTGTTTCGTGTTCTGTCCTGTGTTGATACTTTTAATACCCTATTAATATCCCCCCGGTTATGTCCATTCATCCACTTGTAAACCTCTATCATGTCACCCCTAACTCTTCGCCTTTCCAGTGAATGCAACTTAAGCTTTGTTAATCTTTCTTCATATGAAAAATTTATAATTTGGGGAATTAACTTAGTCATCCTACGCTGGACACGTTCAAGTGAATTTATATCCATTCTATAATATGGCGACCAAAACTGAACTGCATAATCTAAATGGGGCCTAACTAGAGCAAGATATAGCTTGAGAACCACACCAGGTGTCTTGTTACTAACGCTGCGATTAATAAATCCAAGTGTCCGATTTGCCTTATTACGAACATTTATGCATTGATCCTTTTGTTTTAAATTCTTACTAATCATAACTCCCAGATCCCTTTCGCAATCCGACTTCGCAATCACAACACCATCTAGCTCGTATCTTGTAACTCTATCATCATTACCTAACCTCAGAACTTTACATTTATCAGCATTAAACTGCATCTGGCAATCCTTTGACCATTTCAAAACCCTATCTAGATCAACTTGAAGTGATAGTGAGTCCTCCTCCGAATTAATTTCCCTACCGATTTTCGTATCATCGGCAAATTTGCAAATGTTGCTACTCAAACCTGAATCTAAATCATTTATATATATTATAAACAACAGAGGTCCCAGGACAGAGCCTTGAGGCACTCCACTTACAACATTTTCCCACTCTGACTTGATTCCATTTATACTAACTCTCTGTTTCCTTTGGTATAGCCATGCCCTAATCCAGCTTAATATAGCACCCCCAATACCATGAGACTCTATTTTTTTTAATCAGTCTTTCATGTGGCACTGTATCAAAAGCTTTGCTAAAGTGAAGGTATACAACATCGCAATCCTTACCACTATCAACTGCCTCAACAATGCTAGAATAAAAAGATAACAAATTTGTTAAACATGAACGGGCATTTATAAAACCATGTTGCGACTCAATTATTAATTTATGTTTTTCAAGATGAAGACGAATTTTATTTGCTATTATAGATTCGAGTAACTTTCCCACAATAGACGTTAGGCTAATTGGTCGATAGTTAGACGCAAGTGATCTATCTCCTTTCTTAAAAACTGGTATGACATTAGCAACTTTCCAAAACTCTGGCACTCTGCCTGACTCTATTGATTTATTAAATATGGTTGACAGTGGGTCACAAAGCTCCTCTTTGCATTCTTTAAGGACCCTGGCAAACACTTCATCCGGCCCTGGGGATTTGTTTGGTTTGAGTTTTACTATTTGTTTAAGAACATCCTCCCTGGTAACTGCTAAACTCGTCAACCTGTCCTCGTCCCCACCCACATAGACGTTAGGTAAATAATGAAGTGAAAATTGATATAAATGTAAAGCAGAGGTGAATGTTGATATTGTAGTATAAAAAAGAAAACGGGTTAAAATGTGGTATTTGTAGAATATATAGAAATGAATCGTAAATTATGTATTATGAGTGATAGGTTTCGGAATGATAGAATACTAACCAAATATATACAAAATTTGTTTTATAGAATGTGGAGATGATGGTTGATTGGTAGAGGAAATCTGAGCCAGCGGACTTTGACGTACAACGGAAGCAGAGGGTGATGTGGAAGAAGTTGAAGACAAGGATGAGTTGACCCACACCGTGACTAACTGAAAGGACTTGAGATTGGCCAAGATATGAAGTTACATTATTTATTCAGGAAGGCCCTTCTGTTTAATGTGTACACTATTAAAGATTGCTGTTAATAGAATGAGTTTAAATGGCATTTGTTAGGTTGAAGGGGAAAGTGTTATATTGAGTTTATTGACAGTTGAGATCATAATGTAGTCGTAGTGAGCGGGAATAATGTGTGTTTTTGGGCCTTAAGTAGTATGTCCTGAAACAGTGTTGCCATGCTAGTGGGCAAAGTGTGTTGGTTGTGAAAGAATGGATGCGTGAAGTTTTGCAATAGGTGTAGTGCGTTCCCTGGTGGAATGCAGACTGTGCTCGGGGTGTCCGCTGTAAGCGTGCAGCCTGGAAGAGAGACAGCCGCCGGCAGAGGGGCGAATGTTTTAAATATTTTCAGAAAGTGAGTGCGGTGGGCCGTAGGGCCATCGTTCCGGCTGAACGTGAATGTTTGGCGTTTTGTGTCCACAATTACGTCCGAAACTCCCCTTGCACAGATCTTGAAATGTATCCGCATGATAGCAGGTAAGTTCGTTCCCGATGTTTCGCCGGTCCTTGACCTCCGTGGTACTCTTGTTGCGAACCCGTTGGAGGTCGCTACCGAACTTGGTTCCCAGTATGTTGTGTTAGCTCTGGTCTTCATCTTCTCCATTTCTTTGCTTCTTCGTAAAGCTGTCCTTGAGTCTCGTCCTTTAGATTTGTGCACTCGTGTTCGTGTTTCCTATAACGATCCGTTGTCTCTGAAGTTTGTTGGGCCGTGGCCCTGTGGGGTAGTAGGGCGGCGGGCTCGGATGGTATTCAATGAGATGGTTCGGCATCTCCCTCGGTCCAGGTTTCATTATTTAGAGTGTGTATAATCTGATTTTGGAGTCGTCGTGAGTCCGTGAGGACTGGCTCGATGCCGTTGTGGTCCCTGTTCGGAAACCGGGGGTCTCTGTTAACTTCCCTTAAGGAGTTTCGCCCTATTTCCCTCGCAAGTTGTCTGCAAACTCTTTGAACGTATGGTTAACTTTCGTGTGATGTGGTTCCTGGAACACCATCACGTGCTCTCTCCTTCTCAATTTTGTTAACGCAAGTTGCGCAGCACGAGACATGTCGTGGTGAACTTGTTCTATATTCGCAGTGGTTTTGCTGGGAGGAGCTCTGTTGTTGCAATCGTTTTTGACCTTGAAAAGGTTTACGACACGACTTTGCGATATCATATTGTATCCCATGTTCATTGTTTTGGCCTTGGTGGTTATCGACGTGTTTGTCCGGAAAATCCTGTCGTCGTTCGTTTCGGGTGCGCCTTGGTACCCCGCTCTTTTCAGCAATACGAAGGTGTGTCCCAGGGTAGTGTTGTGAGGACTACTGTTTTTGTGGTTGCCCTCAATGGTCTTGTTTCCTCCGCTCTCTATGTCGATGATGTTACCCTTTGCTGTCAGGGTGATGATTCGCCTCTCGTTCAGCGGGGGCTTGAACTTGCAATTGATGCCGTGTCGTGTTTGGCCATCGATCATAGGTTGAAGTTGTTGAGTTGTAAGAGTTGTGGCGTCATGTTTTTTAGTAGGAAAGTTGTGGTTCTTCGTCCCTGTTTGTCAGTTAAGGGGATGACCATAGAGTACAAATAATCCGGAAAGGTTTATAGGTTAGTCCTTGAAACTGGTATGTTTTGGTCTCCCCATATGTGTTACCTCCGTGTTAGTGCTGTAAGGCCCTTACCCTCCTTCGGGGTCTTGTCCTATACTTGTTGGTGGGCAGATAGGGGCGCACTCCTTGGTTTACAGTGCTCTCTCTTGTCCTGTGTATGGGTGGATTATGATTGCCCTGCTTACTGATCTGCTTCTCGTTGTACTCTTCGCCGTTTTGATGTTGCACCATACTGGGTTGCGCGTCAGTTTTGGTTGCTTTCGTTCGACTCCCGCCCTCAGTTTGTATGTTGACAGTGGCTTCCTGTGTGTCCATGAGCGGCGTGATCGGTACTGTGTTCGCTATCTTGCGGGGTCCTTAGAACATGCTTCCTCTCGCCTCTGTCGTGCTTTAACTTTTACCCCTCCTGCGGTTCCTGTTCCTCTTCACCACGTCCCTGTTTTTCGGGATATGTCGGCTACAGGACTGTCGTTCCGTTTGTATTTATAATGTTTCTGCTCGTGTTCTTTTTGCCCCCGTGGAGAGTCCCCCTTCCGCATTTTTGTACATCGTTGACTGGCATCAGTAAAGGTTTGACCCCTCCTACGGTTCTAAAACGGCTTTTCCTTGGACTTTTCTTCTCAGTCCCGGTCCGTTTGTCTTCAGTGATGGGTCGAAGTCTGCGGACGGTGTTGGGTACTCTGTTGTTTTTCGTGATTTCACTTGTGTCTTTTACCTGCGGAGACTTGCATGTTTACTGCTGAAGCTTATGCTATTCTCTATGCTCTTCGTCACGTGCTTTCTCGTTATCAGTGTTGCTTTTTAGTTGAGTGTCATAGTGCCCTCATTGGTGTGTGGTCGTTTAATGGGGTTCATGCAGTAGTTGTCGAGATCCAGCATTGGCTGTTTGTTGTCCAGAGTAAAATGAAGTTGGTTGAGTTTTGTTTGGTTCGCAGCAGTATTGTTGTGTTTAAATGAGGGTGGGGATGGTGCCGGCAAGGAAGCTGTCCGCTCTTGTCTCATCTGTCGTAAAGGTATTGGGTATTCCGAATTTTACCTTGCTCTCCATGCTTACCCGTCGGCAGGCTTCTTGGTCGTCTGATAGTGGTAAAAAAGTTGGTAGTGTTAAATGTTGGTTGCTCGTGGCCCAGTAACCGGCGATGTGAAACAGCTGTGGGGAGGTTGCATATTGGGCATAGTCACTTAACCCCTGGTCACTTGGAGCGCCGCCCTGCTCGTTATTGTCCTAATAGCATTGTCCCTCTTACGGTCGTGGATGTGTTTCTTGAATGTCATGAGTTGGAGGATGAGGTGTGTGTTGCTTTGCGAGCGTGGCCCGTTCGTGAATGTAATTATTGGTGGGTTTGATACTTTTGATATCGTTTTGGTATTGGCATCCTTGGTGATATTTAGCGCCCTTTGATTATCACGTACATTTGATGGTGGGTACATAGCCTTCATTTGAGAATGAGTTAGTTTCAATAGTTGTGAAATGAATGTTATTGAAATTGTACATAAAATGTGAGAATGTGTTGTTGTAAATGACGTATGTGTATACAGTGGCAAAGGGCAAATAATCGTTGCGTGTTTATATAATTTGATGTCAGAAAGTAATAGATTGATAGTGTGGAATGCATTTGTTTTGTATTAATGATGTGGTTCTGTAATAAGTATTTACATGTTAGCGGAGAATGTATAAATAGGATATCGTGAAGTTTACACCGAGTTGTGTTTGACAATAGTAAAATTGGTTGTGGAGAACTGTTAAGTGTGGTAAGTTGTAATATATATATATATATATATATATATGAGAATCGTGAAATAGGGTTAGTTTTGAAGAGTAGTAAAATATTATATAGATAATTGTAAGTAAAAATCAGTTTACCGGAAAAGAAACGCGTAAGGTAAGTGTTAATTAGTTGATGAATAGCATAGTATTGTTGAAATAAAGGTATTGATGAACGTGTAGCTATATTGATAATAAAAAGAAATGAATATATTGTACAGAAAGTGTGCGCCATGTGATGAAGTGGACAACCTATGAAAACCATATTTGTAACGCATATGTAACTGTTTGTTTGTAACAAAGTTCAAATAAAGCAAATATAATTGTGTACATAAAAAAGAATGGGGGTGGTAGAAGATACTATTATTGTTCGTATTATCTATATACATATTTTAGAAATATATATATGTTATAGTATATATAATATTAATCCTCAATATTGAAGATAATTCTTCAATATTGAAGAATAATCTTCAATATTGAAGAATATTCTTCAATATTGAAGATTATTCTTCAATATTGAAGATTATTCTTCAATATTGAAGAATATTCTTCAATATTGAGAAGATTATTCTTCAATATTGAAGAATATTCTTCAATATTGAAGAATATTCTTCAATATTGAAGAATAATTCTTCAATATTGAAGAATATTCTTCAATATTGAAGAATAATCTTCAATATTGAAGAATAATCTTCAATATTGAAGAATAATCTTCAATATTAAATAATAATCTTCAATATTGAAGATTATTCTTCAATATTGAAGATTATTCTTCAATATTGAAGAATATTCTTCAATATTCAATATTCTTCAATATTGAAGAATATTCTTCAATATTGAAGAATAATCTTCAATATTGAAGAATTATCTTCAATATTGAAGAATATTCTTCAATATTGAAGATATTGAAGAATATTCTTCAATATTGAAGAATATTCTTCAATATTGAAGATTATTCTTCAATATTGAAGATTATTCTTCAATATTGAGGAATATTCTTCAATATTGAGGAATATTCTTCAATATTGAAGAATATTCTTCAATATTGAGGATTATTCTTCAATATTGAGGATTATTCTTCAATATTGAGGATTATTCTTCAATATTGAGGATTATTCTTCAATATTGAAGAATATTCTTCAATATTGAAGATTATTCTTCAATATTGAAGAATATTCTTCAATATTGAAGATTATTCTTCAATATTGAAGAATATTCTTCAATATTGAAGAATATTCTTCAATATTGAAGAATATTCTTCAATATTGAAGATTATTCTTCAATATTGAAGATTATTCTTCAATATTGAAGAATATTCTTCAATATTGAAGATTATTCTTCAATATTGAAGATTATTCTTCAATATTGAAGAATATTCTTCAATATTGAAGAATATTCTTCAATATTGAAGAATAATCTTCAATATTGAAGAATTATCCTCAATATTGAAGAATATTCTTCAATATTGAAGAATATTCTTCAATATTGAAGAATAATCCTCAATATTGAGGATAATTCTTCAATATTGAGGATTATTCTTCAATATTGAAGAATAATCCTCAATATTGAAGAATAATCTTCAATATTGAAGAATATTCTTCAATATTGAGGATTATTCTTCAATATTGAAGAATAATTCTTCAATATTGAAGAATATTCTTCTTCAATATTGAAGATTATTCTTC